GATCGAACAGCTGTCGATCGACTCGCGGCGGTGGAGCAAGCTGGCGGTTGAGATCGACGAGGTCGAGTCGCAATCCACGCAACTCCAAGCCGAACTAAAAGAGACCGAGAAGAAGGCCCGCCGCATCGAGATCGCGCTGGGCCTCAAGCCGTTGTGGACCGAGCGCGAGCGCGTCATCGAGCAACGCCGCCAGTACGACGGACTGCCGGACCTCGGCGATAAGCCGCTGGTGAAGCTCGACGAGCTCAACGAGAAGGCCCAGGACCACGCCCGCCAGCGGCACACGCTCCGCGGCCAGCGGCGCGAGCTGCACAAAGAGATGAAGGAGCTGGGCGTCAACGAGGCGCTGATGCGCAGCTGCTGCCGGCTCGACGCGCTGGCCGAACAGACCGACTGGCTCGACGCGCTCGAACGGCAAGGCGCGGAGTTGGGCGAAGAGGTCGAACGCCTCGACGCCCGCGTCGAATCGGAGACGGCGCGCCTCGCCAAGCTCTGGCGGCACAAGCCATCGCCCGAAGCGGCGCCGGAGCTTGATGACGACACGCTCGAAACGCTCAAGCCGATCATCGAGTCGGTGCGCGACGCCGAGAAGCTGGTCTCCGACGCCAAGAAGGAGCTCGACGCGCTCCGTGGCCACGAACGCAACTACGACGCGCAGCTCGAGGGCGCGCTCACGTCGAGTGAGAAGCTCGGCCTGCCGAGCAACATCGAAGACGCCGGCGAACTGGTGGCGACCCTACGCCGCCGCCTCAAGGCCGAGCAGAAGGTCGAACAATCGCGGCGCACCGTCGCCGACCTCGAAGACCAAGAGGCCCGGCTCATCGAACGCCAGGTGCTGCCGATCGAGTTGTTCCTGCTGCTGACCGCGGCGTTCGCAGCGGCGGTCGTGGTGGTCTTCTGGGGCTGGGTCGCGCCGGCCGACACGAGCTGGATCGCCAAGGCGGGATTGCCTGCGCTGCTGNNTGGTTCGTGCGTTACCTGCTCGAAGACGCCCAGGCGACGCAGCTCGACACCTGTCGCCAACAGCTCGACGCGGCGAAGCGGGAAGTCCAGGCCACGCTTATAGAGCAGGACGTGCTCGACGAGGACCTGCCGCTCAAGGACGGCTCGGTCGTCGTTCGCTTGCAGCACGCCGAGAAGCACCTCGAAGAGCTCGAGCGGATGCTGCCGGTCGAGGCCGAGCGCCGCAAGGCGAATCAGCGGACCGCCAGCGCTGAGGAGTTCTATCGCTCGGCGAAGGAAGACCTCGCCAAGGCCGAGAAGGAGTGGCGCGTCGCGCTCAAGACGGTGGGCCTCCCCGACGAAACGACCGCCAGTGAGATCGAGAAGCTCGCCGGCCAGTACCGCGCGTTGTTCGAGCTCCGCAGCAAGGCCGAGGTCAAGCAGGAAGAGATCGAGCGTTGCGAGCGTGAGCATGAGAAGCTCGGCAAGCGGATCGTCGCGCTGGCCGAAGAAGCAAACCTCGTGCTCGAAGACGCCGAGCTGCCGGACCAGCTCGACCAC